GAATTCCATTTCTCTCCTAGACTTGCAGAATGGATTATATTGTAAGTTTTGTTTCGAATTATTGAATCGTGCTTCTACGTTCTAAACGGTTGAATCGATCAGTCTTTCTAAATCGCCCAGCTTTTGCTGGCACACAGTAGCCCCTAGTATGTCCAGCCTCCAGTGACTGACACAAATAAAATAAATCGGAATATTGGCAAAGAAGAACCGAGGCTGGCATTTCCACTGCTACTTAAATCCCAACCTATTTTGGTTAACCTCAAGAACCTGCTTCCTCGACCCGCACCCACACTTGTTGTATTTTGCAAACATGCCTCGCACCACACCTGTCCAACCTAACTTACTTCACCCCTACTATGTTCCACCTCGTCGTCTTTCCAAGACGAATGAGAATCCGAGATCCCAATCTTCCTCTAAAACCGCTGTTCCAAATTGTAGAATCGTCTCCACTCACAGGCCTATCGCTGCTCCCCGCAAGCTTCAGGCATCCCATCCCGTTGACATGTACGGTCCTGTCCCTCATGGTGTGGTTTCACCCAAGAAACAGGCCCCGAATGGGACTCGGTACTGTGAGGAATTAGGTGCGTTTGTTCCTGCAGAGTTGCCCTATCGTATTCGTGGAGTAGAGAAGACTAAGACGAAGATGTCGTCTTCGATTTCGAGGCGTATCGCTCGCGGAATGGGCAAAGGACGAGAGGAGAGCGTTGAATTGGTCATGGTAATGGGGCTGACCCATCGGCAAATGAAATTAATTCCTCTTACGGAGGCTCGTGGAAGAGTTGACTTGGTACAGCATGGACTGGATCTCAACTTTGCGGCCAAGAGTTTGGTGGAGTTGGATTGATCTCGTTGGGGGAGGCCAATCGACGTGCAGACGTGAAGTACCGGGGAGTGCTATAGATTTCAGTGACCGCGTTGTTCCCTACTTCTCTTCTTTCTCTTTCATTATAGCTCCCAGGCAGCAACTTGAAGATAATACCTCCCCTACCCCCCCTAACATCCCCCCTCCCTGCGCACTCCTCAAGACAGAGGCTCAAGAAATCCGACGCAGGGTGCCTTGGACCCTCACTTGGTGGAGCTATGTTCTGTGCACAGCTCCAGCGAGCGATAGCCTAAGGACACAATCCTACTTAATGGCTCCTGGGGCTTTTAGACGTTCTTTTGTAGGTGGTTTACATCATTCCTTTCTACTGAATTATTTCAGGTATAATCCAGCTCGACATTTACGATCATCTGTCGGGCGATACTCGAACCGGCACGTGATACACGTGACACAACGTCGATCGTCATCTCAGTTTCGAACCCCGATGACCGCGTATCCATTCAAGAATGAGCTTTGGTTCGTTTCTTCCCCACCTCTATACATTCCGACCACTCAAGCTTCCGATAACCACAGCCACAGCTACCTCCCACACTTAGGCTCCGACTATTTTTTATGGCTCGCCAACTACCCTGCTCCCTCCTTCAACGCATGGATATGGGTCCGCTGAACGCGCCTTCAGGATACGGACGTCGCGATCATCCCGCCCGCCATGAGAATCAACATACACATTACTCGTATCGATCATCGCCTCCTAGAGGGAGTAGTCAAGGCCCAACGACACATCTGCGGGCACATTCCTATCAGAATAGTCGCGAGTCTGGGTCTGGCATGTTCAAAGAACAGCTACATCGAGACGAGCACGCCCGCCATATACGTCATCCTTCCCATCATTTATATCGACCTGCCCCTCCGAGGGACTTTCAAGAAGTACCATCGAAACATCATCGTATGACCTCCTATCCCAATAGCAGCAACAGTACTGGTGCATTCGGAAGTATTAAATCCGTCTACTTCATATCACCCAAACTTCCTCCGCACACAGAACACAGTTGCGATGGTCGACTTGATTTTGTTTCGGTCGTACAGAACTTTGGAGGTGCAGTAAGTGGTGTTGACAACCAACTTCGTTCAGTGTTCGGACCTGCAAGACGGGTTCATGGCAAATCAGCAGATATGCTTAGGAGTTATGAGCATCGGATGAGAGGAATACGTTTTCCACCTGAGTGGTACGTTGCAAAAGAAAGAGAAATTCACGAGGTGTGCATTGTATCTCCTCCTCAGCTTGTGCGTGTTCAACTAAAGGCGGATCTTAGTTCCTTTGTGACTCATACATGGATGACAGCGTTGAAAATAAAGATGCGGAAATGAAAGTGGAAAACCACACAGAATCGTTCGATGGAACGAAGATTGAAAGAGAGCATAGCATCAAAGTCGACATTCTCTCACCCATTATTCCATCATCTGCCTGTGTCGCGATGACGGACGTAGAAGAGGCGATTCCGGTCTTGTCAAATCTTGTCCCCGATATTAAGAACGAAGAACTTCAAGACCCGGCCATTCGTCTTCCTATGACGGACCCGTTCCATCGTCAGGAATTCCCTGTGTCAGAAATCTCTCTTCCGTTCAATACAGTGTCCATGACGTTTGTCTCCTCCGAATCATCAGCAATTCAATACACACAACCTTCCATGCCTGTATCCATGTCGGTCTCTATGGACCTAGGTGAAGAGGAGGTGCAGGAAGTCGTCAAAGATATCGTAGAGGTCTATACCATCCTGACAGAAACCTCAGATAGCTTGTCAGAGTCCCCAAGCCCGCCGGTCCTGGAGGCTCCCTATCCATCTCCCTATGTACTTCGTAACGACGCTCAAACAGGACCCACCGACTTAGCAGATATCGACGTTGCATTCGTAGTGGGCGCAGCAGAGACGGAGCTTATTGTCGCAGAATGTTTTAATCTATCCGAATTATCCAAGCCGCATCTGGAGAAACATATATCTGAAGAGGATCCCTACCAAGTTCAGGCGGTGTCCTCACTACACGTTCCATCGCCATCCATTCCATGCTCTCGATGGCTTTCAAATACCCGTTCGATTTCACAAGCCAGCGCAAGAAAGGCCACCAAGATGGATAGATCTTACAGGCCATATGAAGTAGTTACTCGTAAGAATTCACTGGTTAGTGATGTGCCTGGCACTCTGATCTCCCAACTCTTTGTCGGAATGGTTCGAAAAGGACGTCGCGTCATGGGTATCAACACTACTCCTGGATCATTGTCTGAGCCATCATCCCCGTCTAACTCTCCGGCAAGCTCGTTCTGCTCAGAATCGGATGAGGCGCCATCTTCGACCAATACTTCTGTGATGCTGTTAAATGAGTCTGAAGAGCTCGAGAAGGTCGTTACATCGTCGTCGACGTCTTCCGGTCATTCAACGAGCTCCGAAGGATATCTCGAGGGCCTTCATACCCAAGATCCCAAGAACAAGCCATCACCCAAGCACATGCGTCTGATACAGATACTCTCTCAACTAGACGATCATGTCCGAAAAGCAATACAGGAAATTGGATCGTCACTTCAGGAATATATTCAGGCTCCTGACACTAAACAATCCGCGAAGCTCATCGACGGCAGTTTTGAAAATCATGTCGCCAGTGAAAGTATGGCTCTGGGCTCTCATCAAGCAGATAGCAAATCTATCCTCAACACTGCGGTTGAGATCTCTCCTATCATGGACATACCAGAAGCAAAATGATCTTATACAACTGCTGGTCTTCGAAAGTGAGCACGGCTTACGCCCCTGGTTGACTCTTCATTGTTTGGTCTTTCCTAATTTTTGCCTCCGTTGTCCTCGAGTCCATTTTTTCCTTCCGTACTCTCAGACTAACGTATCCAATAGCCTGGCCACACCATCCCTTTCTATCACACGACCGCTCTTCGATTTTCCACTGATCCCGCTCTCTTGATTTGCCTTTGGTTTCGGAATCACGGTACCGCGACGTTCTTTTCCTCCTTGTCCAATCTCTATCATTATGTTCAAGTTCACATGTCCTCTCTCACATCTTCTTTCTATCGTATTCACTGGGTCTCACGTGGTCCTATCTATTGGATTTTCTTTCCTCAATTTCTAACAATCTTTCTTCTTGGATATTTTATTCGATTTGTTCTATTCGCCTCAATGCAATTAGTATCATTCAAAAAGATCATCATTCCAGGGTTCAACGTTGAACGTTGAAGCTTCAAGCTACATCATTTTTCCCTAGTCCTCCTTCAAAATTTCCCACTGGTTTCAAAAATTTCCTAAGTAATTGTTGTACACATTTTTTTCCTTGTTTATTATCTACTGCAGCACTTCGTGCTATGTTAGATAGTACAGTTCTTTCTACGCTACCTTAATAAAGAAGATGTAGACTCTACACTAAGCAATCGTAACCAAGCTAGGCTCTTGTGAGTAGCTCCAGCGGGTCGTCGTCTGTGGTTGTGCTAATAGGTGAGAATGTACGTGAGATACGAGTGAAGTGTGTGGTTGCTGGGGGGCATGAGGGGGGAAAGCTACACTAGTACTGCCTATAGAATATGAAGAAAAGGTAGTAGGAATTATATGGTGGTGAAAGTGGGAGGTTGTACACATATTACAGCATCTGCCTCCTTTTTTGTATGTTATTTATTGTGCTTGGGAGCTTTCGCTCTATATTACACATTACATGCATGTAATTCTCTATGAGATGGGAGTCCGAGGATACCGGCAAAAAAGTGTACATGGGAATAACACAATCCTTCGAGCCGGGATCGAACCAGCGACATCAAGATAGCAAGTTATCCAATTACAGTCTTGCGCTCTTCCAACTGAGCTATCGAAGGATGACTTTAGAGTTATATGTATAATATATATACTGAATGTAGGCTACTCCCTTCGGCCATTGCTAGTTTCTTCAAGTTATAAGTTATATATTCAAGTGAATCTTCAAATTCTTTCTGAACAATAGCGTTCGGGCTTGTCACCTTATCCAATAAGCAGAAACTTCAGCGTCAAGGATCAGACGATTCAGACCTCTAAATATCCGGGATAAGTATCTAAATCTCGATAATCAAAGCGTTCAGTAGACTATAGTCTATCTTCACATTTCTTCACCGTCAGTATGATTCCATCTATTATACACAATAAGAAATCACTTTTAACCTTCGATAGCTCAGTTGGAAGAGCGCAAGACTGTAATTGGATAACTTGCTATCTTGATGTCGCTGGTTCGATCCCGGCTCGAAGGACTAACAATTGCTCTACTTCAAGTTGAGGTCGACGGGGTTTTCTGATGAAGTTCCGCCCATCCCATTGATGTTCAGTCGATACTATGTCCCTTTCATTGGAAGTGTAAGGAGGCGATTACCAGCGCACTCCGGCATCGGGAACATTTTAACCATGGGTAAGTTCAAGTTGGGAAATAACACCATCATGCTTGCAATTGACGAATTTTTCCGTAGACATGTTATGTTTTCGCACGAGGGAAGCCATATGATAAGAGAATGGTTGGTCAAGAAATTCGCCGTTAGAGTACTTTACGAACTCTCCTACCGAGATGGCAGGCGAAGAAATCAAGAGGGAAGTCGTCGTGGACCCATCCGTTATTCCACCTTTAGATCCCTCCATTCTCTACCTCAGCGAGGCAGAGTCTGCCTTCCTCCAATCTGCCATCACTCAATATGATTCAGAGTTGAAGAAACGTATATATGAAGTTCAGGAAATGTAAGGCAGCTGCTAGTGGATTGCTCTGTTTTGGAATTTTCTCTGACGTTTTAATCATTGTCAGTGCTTAGTACGTTGTCGAGATGAATACTCAAGTTTCAAATGTTAACCACTTAGGATCGTGCTCTCTCAGCAAACAGCATCCTTATCCATGCATTCGAGCTTTTCATTTCGTGAATCTATTCATGTCGGTTAACCCGATCTACCCGGGAGTTCTTCAAGCAGGTAAAACAGGCCAAACCGTCCTCCTCGATCTTGGTTGTTGTAGTGAGTCCATTCATCGTAATTGTCTTTACCATCGTGGTATTCACCGGAATTTCTGATAGTGGGAACCGACGTAAGAAAGTTAGTCTCAGATGGCTACATTGGCCACAACGTCTTCGGCTGCGATCTCCGTCAAGAGTTCATAGATCTAGGATACCAACTCTACAACGACTCTCCTTCCTCCGAGAAATCTACGCCTATTCGTTTCTTCACAGGAGATATATTCGAAGTGCCAGTCGCACCACTTTCTTCGGTCATCGATCCCAACGCTGCCATCTCTGCAACTTCAAAGGTTACAGACCTGATACAACTATCCGGTGTCGTCAATCATATTTATACAGGCGCACTATTCCATCTCTTTAACGAGGCGACTCAATACTCTCTTGCTCTTCGTCTTGCAAGAATTATCAAGAAAGAGAAGGGCACTATTATATTCGGAAGACATCAAGGGTTAGACAGCGAAAGTGATATAGATGATCATTTAGGGAGGTTTGTCGTCTCGTTTCCTCTCAGTGATTATGGCTGCCCCTTTACAAACACGATGACACTCATACTTGATGCTTATTGAACCAGGGATCGTTATGGACATTCTCCCTCATCATGGGAAGCACTTTGGAAACGAGTTTTTGCCGAAGTAGAATCAGATTCATTCTCGAAGGAGAATGTTGAAGTGAGAGCTTTCCTCAGTGAAGGATTTCAAAAGAACGTGTTCAAGGCAAGACATCAAACCAAAATGCTGGTCTGGAGTGTGAAGATTTTGTAGAAGGACTTCTAGATAGGTAACGATCATCTGGATAATCCTTATTATTATCAAAAGGGGCTGAAAGGTTGTAATAGAAGGGTCGTTCGGCTACAACTTCCAAGGTAATTTTGTATATGTATACTGTGCGGACGATCTTTGTCAACGCCGTTGTATCTTTCCAGGACATATCGCATGTATGCATATCAGTTTTTAAACTAGAAAATCAAACAGAGATTTTCAAACTACATATGTACTCAAGTACATATACACATCGTAAATGGGCGTCACTTGGACATGGAATGGATCATGATATGAAAGTAATGTAAAAAGTAAGAAAAATAGTGTATGCTACAAATGAACAAGAAGAACCAAAGCGAAGAAACGAGAAAAGTAAAATGTGGAAAGAATACACGAGTAAGCACATCGAGGAACATGGGAAGAAGGCGAACCTGTCGCGAGAGACCAGAGCAGGCAAGAAAGCCAGACATCGAACAGAATAGTTGACAAGCAACTTAATTGTTCTTCATCTTCGAGTTTACTGTGCAATCCACAAACGTCTCAACCCTTTGAAGGTTTCACTGCCATCATCTCCATGCTCATCAGGACTTTCATAAGCATAAGTATCTCCCAGCAGACTACTTTGATAGTACTCTTCAGCTTCTATTTCGGGAGACTCCAACGGAGATCCACTAGCAGAGCCAAAGGTAGGTGTAAGAGGAAGCTGAGTGATCTCAGAATCCGGTAGATTGGGCATGGAAGTTGAATGAGGAAGAGGCGGGAGAGGCTTTAAATCGACGAAACTCGATTTCCTGGGCGATTGGTGATGGACTTCATGAGAAAGGCTAAACCTCACGCGTAAAGATTGCCTTTTGACGTTGCGAGGGTTCAAAGGTGTAGTCGAATTCCAAGACTCGGCCGTGTAGACACTGGGAGCCGATGTCATCGTCGACGAGGGTGAAGCAGGTTCGAGAGAAGAAGACGGGCTGATGACCAAGATACTACGAGGCCTCGCACAAACACGGGGAGACTTTGATGAGATAGAGGAGGGTAAGTCAACCAAGACATTCTCCTCTTCTTGGCCCACTTGAACATCATCATCCGTGTAAGCCACAGGAGGAAAGACCAGATCAACAGGAACACCTTCGCCCAATTTCTTCTTCAGCCTTCTCATCTTATCACGTTTGAGCGAAGCTTCAGTTGGAATGATGAAGCCAGGCTCTGCAGGAAGAGAAGAGATGAAATCACTAGATGTCGATGACACCTCCTCCTCCTCGTGCCCCTGTAACACTGCGAGAGAAGAGCTTGGTTGTACATCCGAAGTGATGATATGAATGTTCTTCTGATCGTAAGAAGTAACATCCCAAGGAGGTGACCCAGGAATGGTATCCAACTTCGGTCTCCTACCGGGTCTTTTGCCTTCTTTCTTGGTCGTGATGACAGGAGTTGTCAAAGCTAACTTAAGCAGTGGAGGTCGACGAGCTAGGGACGAAGAGAATTGATTCGATCTCCAAGATGATTCGTTGCTGGCTAAGTTCTGGTTATTTCCACGGTGGGTGGAATCAAGAGACATAGCACGACGATGGTTGGAGAAGGATGAAACTCGAGCTCGGGATAATGGCAAAGATTTCGAGGAAGATCGTGATGATATACTGGATCGGGGAGAATTGTGTGATGCGTCGGAATCGGATGATGAATAACAGGAAGATGAAGAGGATAATGAGGATGTGGAGATGGGAGAGCAGAGAGAACCATCGCTCTCTTCATCAGTTCCAGCAAGATCTGTCGAGGAAGTGTTACTTCTCTTGAAGAAGTTTCGAGTCGGTCCCTTTCGTTGAAGCTTGAATGATGCCTTCTCATCATCGAAAGAGGGTATTTCGATGCGAACGGAAGGAGCTAAAGAGCGAAAGTTGGAAGTTAAAGCTTAGGATCGGAAGAAGAGCGAACAAAAAAGTAAATGGACTCACGAAAGGTATACCCATCATCAAGAACATGGGGTGTAGTACCCAGAACGTGTCCGAGTTTCGCAGTAGATCTCAAGAGCTTCGCTTTTTCGATAGAACTCAGCATGTTTGTGGTTGGTGGGGGCGGTGGAAACGTGATCACTGAATGAGTCATTGAAGAACTGGTCGGTCAAGAGGGATAGAAAGGAGAAAGCAGATATAAGGAATAATTTAGGTCAGAAGTTGACCCTATGACCAAGAACCAAGGAAAGTCTCCAGATAACAGAAAATCGAAGACAGACTCGAACACTGACAGATGACCGCTTAGGCCTGCGAAGGGGTGAGGGACACCTTGGGTGGCACTGAGACGGCGTATTTAAGTACTCTCGGAAAACAAAAAGGCTGCCAGCTTCACGGAATGGAACCGCGGTGTCGACCGAACCATTGAGATACGCAGGACCCTTCCGAAGGGGTGGAACTTCTCTATGAGGCACCAGAGCGCATGTTACCGATATATCGAAACAAAAAGGGTGGAACGAGTGGAATCGATGAATAGTGATCCATCTATACGGCTGTTTCATAAAATGAAAGCCACGGTCTAGGTCCCTTATTGTCTACGACCTACTTTTCCCACTGTCAGATCAGATGAATATAGAGCGTTCAGTAGCACATGTCTGAAAAGACAATAAGCCCGTAAGCGCTCACGACACGATAGAACTGGTGTAATCAGTGTTGCTTCGAAGTACTAGTAGTTCCAAGTCCCGATGAAATCAGCACGAGCAGTAACGAGAAAGGGAGTTCTATTCCAAGCGGAACAGAACGGTGTTCTGCTGTCTTTCGCGTCGCGGGTTTGACAATAGTCGGCGGTTTGGGGTAGGTATTCCGGAAGATGCAAGAGGTAATATAGTCCAGCGCAGCCACTACAACGCAGTGGAAAGTTTCTAAGCCTGTATGGCTGAGATCTATCGTCGTACCTATGGAAAGCAACCAGATCCAAGAGATTTAATGACCCTATTGCTGTACAGTGTTCGAGTTCTACGACTAGACGTGAACAGGACAGCAGATATCATGGTGACCTGTCAAATTCTATAGAGCTCGTTATACCCTGACAAGTTTCTCCAGGTGAAGGAATTTGATAACATTGGGTGGGAGACTGCGACTAGCCAAAACGCAACAATGTAATCACCACTTCCTCTTTAACTAGATTTCATTCGTTCAAATCAACGAGAATTCTTCAATAAATGAGGACGTACCGCTTCTCTCATGCATGCACCAAACTTCGCGAATTCCTCCTTGCAGGCATCCTTCCGTACGTCCGTGTAAATTGCCAGAATGCATTTGCCATACTCAGATGCCTGGGCAGCACAGGTCACCGTACTAGCGGTGGCCAATCGGCGCAATGGTGTTGTTGGGACTGAAGCAGACATTAACGATAGGTCTCTGCGGGGAGTTAAGATAACGCAATGCCCGATGAAAATGGGATGGTGGTACGGGAGGAAGGTAAGTAGCGCCGAATTGTCCGTGACCCGACGCGTGACGTCACAAATTGGCCGTGCAATCTCCCGTCACGCTCTCAGCG